CCTTGACAGTGATACAGTCTTACATGCCTATTCACATCGAGAGAGGTGCAGCAATGTGAATTTCCAATGAAAATTCTGATTCAACTGAATTAATGAAAAATATTACTACATCATTTATAACAAGTCAACTACATAATGTAACTATAGGGATGTGCCTGAAGCTAAATACAGTACCTGATTCAAAAAGGCATGGACAATGATTTCAAAATTATTTCATACTAATGAACAGAAAAACAATGAGCCGTGGCTGGTATGCAATGCATACATTCTGTTTATAATCTCTTCAAAATATGTTATTCATGCTGCTAGGAAGGGCAATGTGTAGTTGACCATTTAGGCACTATGCGTCTTGATTTACAAATGTATAAAACAGCAAAGTAGTTCAAAAACACAATTTTCAGCTTGTTTTAAAAATGTAACTAATAAGTATTGTAGTGTAAATTTTATTCATCAAAATGAATAACCATGATCACAATTTCAAGGGAAAATTATTGATAATTTGCCAACCAATAAGAGTCGTGTTTTGGTCATGTGCCCGGAGACGCTGCTGTTACATAAAACTATGTCTTGGTGGCATTATTTTTCTAAGTGAATAGCAGAGGGAAAAAAAAATTGTATATAACATTTCTGATATGCAAATAGAATATTATACCACTGTCCTTGTGTATGAGTATGTGCTCTGTGTCTACTTTTTCATAAGTGCCACGTTTTACTGTTAGAGAGTGAAATTGTATTTTTGCTCAGCCAGTCTGCCATTAAAAAAAAAAAAAATAGACAGAGTTTTTGTATCTAACCTTTGTGTTGGTACGATCAGGCCTTAAATTCAACTGAGGTCCTCCATCTGACTGAGACAGCTGCCACAAACATGTCCAACTTCAGTGAGCCAACTACATACGGTATGTTAAAAAGTAAGAAATGGAGGGCAGACCGTGATATTGCTGCATTTGTCGCTCTTTTGTTCAGAAGAAGAGCGTGAAAAAGAATCACCTCTTTTCCTGGGGCAAATGGAGTGTGAAGTCGACTTGAATCATAAGCGCTGATGCAATCAAACAAAGGCAATAATGTGTAAAATGCAAACAGCTTCAGATGACTTGAACTGCAGTGTTTGGAATCTAAAGCAATGATCCGTACAGCATGCCATGGTGGAACATTTGCAGGGCGACTCCTGAAAGAAGTGAATCATTGGAGTCCTGGTGAGTTCAAATAATCATTTTATTTATTTATTTTTCTTATGTTTCATAATCTTAGAGCAAAATGATTGCACAAATTTTGCACTTTTGTTATGTTCTTAGTTATGTTAAATGTTTAAGTTTAAGTTATTAAATGATTGGAGGGATATATTTTAAATTTAAGCAATTTATTCACTTTTCTGCAATGGTTTTGAGCTTTGCTTCAAACCAACCAATACAATTTAACATGGATAAATAAAAGATCTCTAGGAACTCTAGAGGAGACAAAAGTGAGACTGATGTAGTCTTAAGCCCGATTTGGACAGTAATTGTTTCTCATGGGGACGTAAGCTATTTTCAACATTTACAGTGGTTAGTCTGTGATTTTATTGCCGTCCGAATCCAGAATGCCGATGTTTTTCTCCCCCACCCATGTTAAAATCCTCAGCTGAATTACCTACTGTTTTTTGACAAACACCAAGGTAATTTCATTGCCGTCCAAATCCACATCTCTGAGTTTACAAGAAGAAATCGATTCAAAATTCATTGTTTAAATTATTTTTGACCACTGCCAAACACTGTACGGTAACTGTTGCACTTTGCTGTAATTTGCATGCATATTTATTACTGAAATGCTGGTATATACAGTAAGTATTTACAAAAGCAATATTTCACAACTGCTCCACCACAGCGAATGGGAGCTGTTAAGAACAAAAACAAGAAAGAAGCATGTAAACATTTCAAATGGGTCATTATTATGGCAGCAACTGGTATGCAATACAATTTTAAAATATGTATTATATAGGCCTACAATTCCATACATAAAAATATAAACCAAGCAGCTTTATTCTTACCTTATGTAAATAAGAGGTTGCATTAATTTATTTCTGATAATCTCCACATTTTTAATGACAACCATCATTTTGAGAGATAAAATGCATAAAATTGGTAGTACCTAGGATAGCAAAGTCCACTAAAGGAGGTAGAGCTTTTTCGCATTTGGCTCCCAAACTCTGGAATAGCCTTCCTGATAACGTTCGGGGTTCAGACACACTCTCTCTGTTTAAATCTAGATTAAAGACACATCTCTTTGGCCAAGCATTCAAATAATGCATCTCATAATCTTGTACTGCAGTTATATCTGATCAAATGCACATTATTATTCTTTAGCTTGGGTTAAACAAATAAATTTTGCTTGGTTGGAACAGCAGCTACGCTAATTATGTCTCTATTTGTTTCTCTGTTTCCGCCACGGGATTGACATCCCACATCAGATGATGCCAACCCTGAAACAACATACAGAACTACCACATTTTGCTATAAGTTTGATTGCATCATATAATAATTGCTGTTAATAGTGTTCATCGTCTGTTTGATTACGTCTTTAATTGATTTTTCCGTACATTTCTGCCATATGTACATTAACTGACAGTCACCACTGATAAGCTACCACTAAATATTGTAGAAACTTATATCTATTTTCCTATTTGCACAGGAGATTTAAATAATCAAATAAATACATAGGATATTACTAAATATGAATTTATTCTTATTATTCCACTTATTATTCCAAGCGTATGACATTTCATTTACAGCAGACACTCATGTGATTGGCCATGTGAGCTGCGCTTTCCCGGGTTTGCAGGATCACAGAACTCGCTTCTCCAGTGTGAATAAGTCACCATCCGAATACATGAGTTTTATCACTGAGGTGCCATTACATTTATTTGTACAGACATCCACATGAGAAACAGTTGCCATCCCAATAGGGCTTTATTCTCAGGAGTAACATTTGAGAAGCAAGAGAGGTCTTCATTTGCTCTATTTTATAGAGAACTCAGTTGATGTTTTTTTGTTTTATTGCTACAATGAGACAGTTCCCAATTAGGATTATGTATCTGTTTTTAAACCGTTTAAGACCTATTTATAACCAATGCACAAATAAATTAGGGTTTCATTGGTAACTCATATGAAATTGAGGTGGAACACGGGACAATACGGGCCAGTGCTCTAAACAGGGCTACGAACACATCTCATCTCTGTCCCCAACTAAAGATTTTTCTACTGGTCAACTAATCGCACATTTACATTAAATTAATTGATTAAATATATACTGGGAGGTGGGGAAAGAAACCATGCAAATTCTATTCCCAAGGACACATATAAAACTTGCTGCAAAGCACCAGTGAAAGTAATAACCATGTGTTTATTTATTTACGAATAAACTAGTGTTTTCTCAATCAGTATCAACTGTAAAGATGAAACTGACGATGCCATTTTACAACTGGTTCCAAATTTCCAAGAACCAGGTATTCGACAAGACACGTGCATTTCGATTCCGCTTAACGATTCCTGCGTTCGCATTTTAATATTATTTTAAACCATTTAAGCGCAAGAAGGGAAAGAACTTGCACACTGTTTTGCGTGCTGCACACATATCTGAAGCGCGAGCACAGAGAGCCACGGTCCTGGTACAGGTTCCCAGCCTGTGTCCGTTCTTGAACCGTTCTGGGCATTTCCACTGCAGAAAAGGTTGTTCCGGGCAGGAACTGACTTCTTTCACATTTTGCGATCAATATGTACAAAACTATGTCAGTATATCCTCGTAAATACAGCCTTTTGTCTTAAGTGAACGTAAACAGATGAGAAAGAAAACGTGTAACACTATTTTTAGATCCGCGTGCATTCAGTGACAGCAGCCTAATAAACATGCGCTGACTGTCATTATTGTTAATCAAAGAACAAAAGAAAATCATTCACTGATCTTGACTGAATATCTTTTGTAACTTTAATGAGGATTAATCTGTAATTTATTTATGAAAAGAAAACTATGCAGTGTTTTTAAACTTTTGATATCATTTTCTGTACCTGAAATGTACAGGCTAAAGTCTCAAAATCTAATTATGAGATAACAAGCATCAAAGTTTGATTTCATCCATTAATTTCACTAGGATGTCAATCTTTGACATGGCCTTACTCAGTCAATATTAAAGATATAAAGGTTATATTTTCACAGAATGTTCTTGATTTTATGTAGAAAACAGTAAATCACAAAAAATAACTTTAGCTGGGTTTTCACAGGCAGGGTCACAAATGTGTTCAGGTACAGAACAGAAGTGCTATTGCTAATTGATTTGTTTGTTATTTTATTACTGACTGTTTTCTTTCATTTTACATTTATTTTAGCAGTCTAGTTGTTTTTGCTGTGGTATTTTTGTTAAAACCATAGGCAAAAGTTTCTCTTGTAGGCCTAAGTGTTCTATAGACTGCTGATTTTTTGCTTATGTTATTGAGCTACAACAGAATGCTTTGTAAAAAGACAGAATAAATATGTTTGACTTCATTTTTTTTTTTTTACCTTATTTGAATTGAAACTAGGAATCGATAAGAATCTGAATCGATTTCCTCAAGGACCAGCTGATTACCAATCTGTCCATCACAGACACAGACAATTTTTTTTTCTGCGACTAAGCGATTTTTTATATTATTTTAGTTGACTAACCCTCTTCTGTCAGAGATGAGTAGGGCATCCCTACTCATCTCTGACAAAACTGCTGTGACTTCACATTAGTTGATTTATACTAGGTATAAAAAGGCCAAACAGTTAAAGCCCTAATTCTCAAAGGCATAGGGCACAACATTTTAGTGACAATATTACAGAATATTACTGTAATCTGCCATGATATTACTCATTGCGGTTCAATGACCAAAAATAATATACACAATTTGAAAGTTGAGATAGGTGTGCAAAAATAGACGTATCTGTTCAAGGGACAAAATCCTGAGCTGAAGTGCATGTGTGTGTGTAGGATTAAGGTTTTTAGCACTCACACTCTTTGGACATTCCCGCAGCGAAGCACTTCTGTAGCCGGCAGTATTGACAGCGATTCCGAGTCACCTTGTTGATAATGCAGTTCTTCTCCCTGTGGCATGTGTAGACCATGTTCTTCTGGATACTTCTGCGGAAAAAACCCTGTGGAGAGACAGAGTCTTAATTTTGTGGTCTAGAACTTGGTATGGGTCTGCCCTTATGAAAAGCTGGTTAATCAAGGAAGCTAGTGTAGCATCTGGACCAGACACACAATTTTTTTTGTTATATTTAACAAATACATTGTAACACCCCTCAATCAACAAACCAACTATGAGGGTCTATGGACCCTTCCCCTGAAATGCATCTAACACCTCAGAAAGGCAGAACAGGCCTCTGGTTCCATGGCAACCAATGCTGATATCACTGGTTTTATTGCCCAAAGGAATGCGGGCAGAGCAACTCACAATTAATTTACCCTTAGGAAAGACACACAATGCCCATAAAAATGGACTCTTCTCTAATTAATTCATAGAAAAACCTTTCTGTGAATAAACACACATCTCCTCAGGACATTGTGTATACCATTACTGTTCTTGTATATTGTCTTTTGAATTGTATACTGTTTTGTGTGTGTGTTATGATAGATCACTAGTTAATATAACCCCCCGATACCATGTTTGGTCTCTTTGAATTTGTCTTCTGATGATCTAAACGAGAGTGTATATTATACGTTGGTACATAGGCAATATAATAGTGTTCTAAGAATCTTTAGTAATTTTGATTCAAGTTCCATATGCAAATTACCATGCTCTCACACAAAGGGTCATAAAACTCCCCAGTATTTCCAACCTCCCGCTTGGAATTTCAGCCTTTCTCA